CTCCACCTGGCTGGAGGCAGGGCCCCTCTAATTCTGAGGGTAGTACTCACTGGGTTTGTGAAGTTCAGAGGGTTTCCATGGTTCAGAGGGTTGACAGGATTTACGTAGTTCATGGGGTTTACATGGTTCACAGGAACTGTGTGGATGCCATGTACTCCACTTTCACTGCTCACAGTGGACCAGAGCAGCCTCCCTTCTGGACACATTTTCTCTTCTTTTTGGTTTAACTTGTAAGTAGAACTCTCGTGATTGTAGGGCAGAGGTAGGTTTTCCATCCCATCTGCTCATCTGCTCTCCAGACCTACGCAGGAAGGTCCACAGGGTACGTCATGACATGTCCTGCTTCTGTGTAGCTGGTCTCACAGAAAGTCATCTCCTCCTAACAGCTTCAACATGGGCCCATTCAGGACAAGAGTAGGATCTATTCTCCCTCCTGTCTAGTTTTTCAAACAGTTTTTCAAATTATTTCTCCAGGGCTGATACGCAGGCCTGTAGGGGACTGGAGACACTGTCCTCATCCTGTTGTACCCTGGCAGCCACTTCAGTCACTGTTGGTGCCTCACCATCTCGTCCCCACAGCATGGTTGGCAGCGTGTGGACATACATTGCTGGTGCCCTCTGCACAAACTCCCCCAGCGTGGGGCACGGGCCATGGCATCGCACCAGGGTCCACCTCTTGCCTGTCACCATAAACCACCTTGACCAGGATTTTCTCTCACTTCTTCTTCCATGCAGGAGAATGAGGAAAAATTTAGCCCTGTGCAGCTTGTGAGTATGCTGCAGGGAATAGCCTCTGGCATGACCTACCTTTCAGAACACAACTACGTGCACCGGGATCTGGCCGCCCGCAACATCCTGGTAACACGCAGCCTTCAGTGCAAGGTGTCCGACTTCGGCCTCTCCCGGATCCTGGAGAATGATGCAGAGGGAACCTATGAAACCAAGGTAAGGCAAAACCACTCTCTCCGTCCTGTAAATGAACTTGAGTCCCTCAAGCCTTAGAGGGATTTGGATTCTACTGGTGGAATTTCTTCACAATAGGAGACACCAGGAAGGTGTTCCCTCTTCTCCAAGGAAGATTTAGATGGAAAAGTTATGATGAAAACCCATAGTAAAACTGCAAGTCACAGTGTGGATGATTCAGAAGATGATACTTTTCTGTCTGGAGCCCATGCTGAGTTTTTTTGCTAAAAGATTCGGAGGGATTGTGCTTTTGAAATAAGGAGCAAAATAAGAGTTCTGATTTTTTTTTACTTAATTTTAACTAAATCTAGCTTTGAAGACAGCCCTGCTGTGATCAAGGGTTTGGGTTAGAGACATCTACAGCTTCCTTTCAGGGAAAGTTCTGGTGATTCTAATGTGTGGTGTCCAAGTAGGGCTGTGACTGGTACCAGGCTCATACTCCCACAGCGGTGGTTTTGTGTAGCATTTAGCCAAACAGAGGGCTTAAACTCATTCACTTCCCAAGAATGTTCCTGTCCTTTTGAGAAATTCCCCAGGGGTGGCTGCACTTCAAGTGAAGTGATCCCAGTCTTTGCACCACTTTGTGAGCTCCTTGCCTGAAAGCACTGGAGAAATACAGCTCAGTGATACGTGCTGGATACACGACATCTCTCCTCTGTCAACAGGGTGGAAAGATTCCCATCCGGTGGACAGCCCCAGAGGCCATTGCTCACCGGATTTTCACATCAGCCAGTGATGTCTGGAGCTTTGGAATTGTCATGTGGGAAGTGCTGTCATTTGGTGATAAGCCGTATGGGGAGATGACCAATCAAGAGGTAACAGACACGGAGCTTAAGTGCTGATTAAACAAAATAAAAGATGCAAGCAGGCCTAACTTTTGTAGGTCTCCCTCAGCCTGCAGTCTTGACATTGCTGTGAACATGAAACTATTTTGCCTAACTCCCTGCTAAAAATCAATGCAACCAAATCAAGGGCAGTAAGTGTTTGGGCCTCTGAGCCATGTTCAGGTGTCAAAAGCAATGAATGAACTTAAAGACTAGTTAATTCAGCCATGGTCCTTGGCCCTGGAGATGTTCTCTCTTGGGTTGTTTCTCTCCTTCCTCTGGCTCTGGAGTATTATGTCTGGGTCTCATTCTAGGTTCAGCACATCTGTGGGGTTAGCACATGCCGTTGAAATTATTCCTCAGAGTCTGTTTCCCTTCCTCTCACTGGGCTTGTGCCAGGATCATTTGGTCCTCACTTCTCACATGCCCCAAATGGCAAATGGGAGCTAAGCTAGTAGAGGATTGAAAGTGCACGCATGTGCCACTTCACTTTTTGACATCCCTTAGGTGTCCTGGTCCTCTGCTGTGCTGCCCAAACCCTACTTCATACACGTGTCATCTGCTTCACCCCCTCCCTGAGCTCACACTGTGCAGAATGGTGAACTGCCTCCTCCCAGCCCCACAGGGAGCTCCGGCTCCTCTTCCGCACGGTCTGCCCTTGGACAGATCTCCTCCTGTTCCCTGTGCAGGTGATGAAAAGCTTGGAGGACGGGTACCGGCTCCCTCCCCCCGTGGACTGCCCGTCCATTCTCTACGAGCTCATGAAGAGCTGTTGGTCACACGATCGGTTGAGGAGGCCTCATTTTCAGGAAATCCGGGCACAGCTGCAACATTTCATGTCAAGTCCCCACCTTCTGCGGCCTGTGGCAGACTTTGATCCCAGGTAAGCAGGCTGTCACTGAAGGAGGACGGGTTAAGTTGCATATTTTCACCTCGCTGCCTCCAGCAGCAGGAGAGGTAGTGCTAGCAGTGCAGGCTGGAGAGATGAACCTCGAATGCTTTGTGTGCAGAAGGTAGCAGTCATCTGTCTCTCCTGGTGGCAGAGGGGTGGCCGTGGGCCTGGGGAGTCTTAGCCTGCAGAGAGCTGCTAAGTTCGCCTAGTCCTAGCAGAGGGTGCTTGCCCTTTAGCTACTCTCTCGTAGTAGCTAGCAGTGCAGGCTGGAGAGACAAACCTCGAATGGTTTGTGTGCAGAAGGTAGCAGTCATCTGTCTCTCCTGGTGGCAGAGGGGTGGCCGTGGGCCTGGGGAGTCTGACCTCACCCTGCAGAGAGCTGCTAAGTTCGCCTAGTCCTGGCAGAGGGTGCTTGCCCTTTAGCTACTCTCTCGTAGTACTGGCCACTGCCTGGCTAATGAGGGTTTTATCTGCCTTTAGGGTAACACTCCGTCTCCCCAGCTGCAGTGGGTCTGATGGGATCCCCTACAGATCCATCCCCGAGTGGCTGGAATCCATCCGCATGAAGCGCTACATCTCCAACTTCCGCACTGCTGGCCTGGACACCATGGAGTCCATCCTGGAGCTCACTGCTGAGTAAGGGCTCCCACAGGCACCACAGGCTGTGCTACAAATAGCCTGTGCCTGTGCTAGCTAAACAGACACTCGGGGTTGCTTGGAATGCTTCTCTCCTTCCTTCTCTATATAGTGCAATGGAAGTGGGCTGGCTTCTTGCCCTAAAGGGGAAGAATCAGCCTAGGAGGATTTGGATCAGCCCAAACTGATTCCTTAACTGTCCATGTTTGAGACCTTCCCAGGGGCCTGAGCTGCTCTGAACTCACATCAGATACAATCAGCAAGGGGAACCAATAGATGGCAGACAGTTCTCAAACCTGACAGCCTCCCCACCCTTGTAGGACTTGGCAGTTTTCTTGACAGGAACTCCACATGGGCCAGTGCTATTCTGTGCCCTCCCCATCAGCTAGGCACTGGTCTGTCATAGAGTAAAGTCCTTCTTTGCTGCTTAGTACAACTCAGGTCAGATGCTTTACCAGCACAGCTGGGACATCTGGCCAGCTCCAGCCAGGGGAGTGACATAAAACAAACGCGCAGGCACGGATCTGCTCAAGGGTTGAGACATGGCCTGTATCACAACCTGACATGAACACAGTCCTGCTGTAATGAGAGCACAGGCCTAGTCATGGGCTGGGGAAGGCCAGCTGACTGGGTGGGCAGAGATAGCCAGAGAAGAACAGGAACATCTACAAGTTTCTTCCCTCTAGAGAAAAGGTAGACATAGTAGGAGGTGCTGAGGGAAAGGAAGGTTTATGAAGCAATGCCCGGTAACTGTTTCTGCCTTTACCCACATCCCAGTCCCCAGGGAACAAGAGCAGCAATTAATTCTTTCCCTTTCTTTTCCCTTTTCCTTCAGGGATCTGAAACAGATGGGAGTGTCACTTCCAGGCCACCAGAAGAGGATCCTGTGTAGCATCCAAGGCTTTAAGGAGTGATCAGTCATGGCTCTGCTAGGCTTGCTAAATGCCCATTCTTACCAGATATCACTTGGAATCATTCCTATGGCAATTGCTTCCAAATGAGTGACTGGGACAAGCAAAGCAAAACCATCAGAACTGAAGAGGTTCATGAGGCAGCAACACCTGCTCTTATTTCTGTTCCCCCTTCTGTTAGCTCTACAGTTGTAATGATTTAGGGTCGGGGCCACCCCCAGACCTGTAACAGATGCTCTCTGCTAACCCCTGTCCCTTCCCAAAGCAGAAGAGAAAGGGAATAAGGGAGAAGCACTTATAGATTAGAAGAGTAAAACAGCTTTCCTGAAAAGAATAATAACAATAATATTTAAATGGAATGTATACAAATATATACAAAACCAGTATTGAACCCACCCCCCAATGGCAATACATCACCGTTACCCCGATGCTGGGGAGCAGGCCCTGGGGAAAGGTCCCAGGCTGGACTCAGAGTCAGACAGGAACTGGGTACAGGAGCTGGACTCTGGAAGTGCACTCAGAAACACACGGATCAGGATCAGAAGGGATGGAGTCCTCCTCAGATGCCGGCCAGTGAAGAAGAAGACAAAGAGAGCTTGACCCTTGTGATCCTTCAGCTGTCTACTGAATAGGACGGATATGGGATGGAACATCCCACTGGTCAGTCTAGGGTCACCTGTCCTGCCTGCTCCTCCCTGCAGGTGCAGCTTTTGATTTCTGCCCCCCTCTGTGTGGTGCACAGGATTCAGCAGTGACCTCGGTCTGCACACCAATCCCTGGCAGTAACTCTAAACATGGAGTGTTATCACTGCTAGAAGCAGACACTGTCTGTGAAAACATACTGTTAACTTCAGAAAGTTCAGTTAGTTAGAAGAGATTTAGCTAAAAAGTAAAATTACTGAACAGAATTAATTCTGTTCTAACCCAAACCAGAACAACAGTAGCCATCAGTATGTCTCAGAGCACTGGTCTTAGGAACTGTTCTCAACCCTGTCTTCTGTCGTCTGTGCTGTGCAGCACCAAGTAATCCTTGTAGTCCACGTAGTGGAGTTTCAGCCCTTCAGTATGTCACATGGAAACATAAGGATACATACAAAGTGGGTTGAGGGTGGTGGATAATATTTTAAGATTGGAGATGAGGGTTCAGATAGACTGAGAGAGTCAGGGAACATGCACGAGGACATGGCCATGCAGAGACTGGGCCCATTCATTCCTGGCATACATCCCTTCTCACTTCAGCAGCCTTCTGTCTTCCTTATCTTACAACAGGAACAAACTAGTCTTTAACAAGGCTGCTGGTAAGGGATATGTTTTTTTTTAATTCAGCTATTCTTGCCTTAAACACGAACTCATTGTGTACTTTCTGTGGAGAAGCTGGGAGTAGCAGCACACCTTGCTGTGACTTGTGATCATGTAACTTCAGTGAGTTGCTGTTTTGCACATGCACGCTTCCGTGGGAGGAACTACATCTCTTCAACCTGCTTAATACCTTTACTTGTGCCATGGACAGAAAACCCTTTAGGTACTTACTTTTCTCTGCTCCTTTTTAGAAGAGAGAATAGTCTTGTTTGGCTGGATAGGGTATTTGTAACAGAAAAATGTGTAGGTGGTCTGTCTTATTCCTTCTCTGTGGAGGAAATATTATTTATCAGAGCTCAAGACAGTTATAGACTGTAAATAGTATTTTGTAAATAAATCTGTGGCAGAGCAGGCTGTGTTGGAGTTCTTCGGTTTATTTAAAATGGGATTGGGACCTTTACCATATATTTTACAAGTTCCAGCAGGGTCTTTGCATCCATGTTTCATCGTTTCAGCCAGTGGTCTTTGTCCATTTAACTGCAGATTTACTGTGGCCATGCAGTGCCGTTAGTATTAAATGATACAAAGTGCTCCTGGTCACTGCAGACTTTTTTCGCTACACCCAGTTCCAGCTACATCCATCCATTAGCTGTGTCCATCTTTTTACAGCTCCTGTCTTTATTCCTAAGCCATGAGGGGTATTAGAAGCTACTGCTGTAGTTTGCTGAAGTACATGTGAGTAGTTCTTCCTTCCTCCAGAGCAGATTGTCCAGGGGGGAAAAAAAATAATCTCACTCTGATGATCCTAAGGCTTCCTACTACCTGGGAAGTGTAGTCACCTCAAGGTCTATTTGTCATTGCTTGAGCTAAGTCTAGCTGGTGGTTAAGGTGCTGTTCATTCAGCAACCAGTTACTTATTGTAAGTAGCTGTCAGCGTTTCCATAACTGTATAATTCTCTAAATTCTTAAGGCTATATGTTAACACTCCTGCTACTAGGAAGATCTTGCTTAACTATAAATGACAGAAGGGTTCAGAAGCAGAGATCTAAAGAACTGCAGCGTAGAGGAAGAAGGCTGGTTTCTGTTCCAGGTGAGAGCATTCTAACTATCCTTTTGTATACAACAGGAAACAGAGTGTACACTTACCCCAGCCTCTCAAGCCACTTTGACTGCTAAGATGCAGCTGACAAGATAAGCTCTTGCTGTGAGTCTTGTTAGTGCATCAGGCAGTTCTGTCTTAGTAATAGGTGTTGTTAACATAAAGTATAGATAATAAATAAAGTTGCCACATGGCAGATATCCAGGCTAGAAGATAAGCCCTGATGATGCTGACAGCAGATGATAAGCTTGTGTCATGTAGCTGTACACTGCAGCATATCCTTGCAGATGACAGAAGAGTGGGAGTGGCTGATGCACAGATAGGCGTGTTGCCAGTCGGAGAGACCTTAACAGGTGGGAGAAAGGAGAAGAGAGAGGACCTGTGAAGCTGAGTGATGGGAAATGCAGAGCCCTGCAGCTGGGGGGGGAATATCTCCACACACCAGCACATGCTGGAGACTAACTGGCTGGAAAGCAGCTTTGCAAGAGAGGACTTGCAGGTCATAGTGAACAGCAGGTTGCATTTGAGCCAGTCATGTCCTTGTAGCAAAGGAGGCAAACGGCGTCTGGGTGGC